TCACAGTCAAGAGAAATGTAAAGATACAGTATTAAATCATAACTTCATAAAATTAACTTTAGTAACATACTATACTACTGTAATAATCTCATAGCCACCTCCTGTTGCTATTGCGGGGAGCTCAAGCGTTGCGAGTATCTGCTTACAATGCCATATAATGCTAATCTCCACATGAGCAGTTGTCTCTGCAGTAAATTTTGTATTGAGTAAAAAGTAATTCTCTTGTATTTTTCATTGTGTTTGGTGCAATACCATAAACCTTGAATAACACCATGGGATTGATACAAACTGCCACTAGTGATGCTGGAGGTTCTTCCAAGAAGCAGAGAAAAGTCATGACATTACAAGAAAAAAAGTTGAATTGCTTGCTATATTCTGAAGGTTGGCATCTGCAGCTGCATTTGCCCTCTATTTCAAGATAAATGAATCCAGTGAAAGAACCATTGGAAAGAAAAAAGAAGGAAGGAAGGAAAGAGAGGGAGGAAGAGAGGAAGGAAGGAAGGAAGGAAGGAAGGAAGGAAGGAAGGAAGGTAGGAAGGAAGGAAGGAAGGAAGGAAGGAAGGAAGAAGCGAAGGAAAGAAAGAAGAGAAGAGGAAAGGAAAGGAAGGGTGGGCTTACATGTTTTGTTGAGGAGTTTAGACTTTATTTTTAAGGTGATAAAAGGCCACTGAAGGTTTTATAGAGCAGATTGGCATGAAAAGGTTTTTAAAACAATATATGATGGTGAGAAGAGAAACAATGGAAAAGAAATGGGGAAGGCAAGCTAGGGGCAGATGGATGCATTAGGAGGCAATCTACTTGACAAATAATGAGAGCAGAACTGTGCAGATGGTGAAGAAGTGGTGAATTTAGGAACCCTATGAAGGAGAACTGATATAAATTAGTGACTGGCTGGGTGGAGAGAGCTGGAGAGGGCTAGGATGACACCCAGGTGTCTGCCGGGGTTATTTACGGAGACAGCGGCTATCACCGGGTCAGACAACACATCGGGAGGAGCAGGTTTGTGATGAGTCCTGATTTGGAGCTGAGATGACTGTGAAACTGTAATCAACATGTCTAGCAAGTAGTGGACGGTAAGGGGAGAGCTCAGGAAAGAGGAAAAACTAGGGTCGCAGCAAGTAACAGGTGGCTAATGCCAAAGGGTAATTGAAAAGGTGTTAATGAAGGAACTATTTACAAAGGATGAGCAGAGCTAGACAACTAACTAGGGATTTACTGTATGGGTAAGAGCTGTAAGAGAGGGTCATCTGAAAGGCGCTGTGATCTTTGGGAACTGGGCAATGCCACATTCCCCCTGTTCAAGGCCGCCCACAAATCTCCGATGGGCTGCTTAGAATTATGGCAGTTGACTCTATGAGATACACTTACTCAGGAGAGGGGACTCAGTCAACTCTAATAGCTGGTCCCTTGCAACAACCTAGGGAGACTGCCCTGTTAACAACACTGAAACCAATTGTCCTTGCATTAAGACATCATTACATTTCCAAGTAACACTGATTAAACACTGTTTATATAATCCTAACTTCCTAATAACCAATGCAATTAGTTAAACCTGCATTCTATTAAAATTAGAGGGAAATATAGAGATCACCCACTAAAGTGTACTATTATCACATCTCTGGATGTGCACATATCTAGGAACTAACACATAAAGGGGATGATATGTGGCACTAAAAAACAAACACAGCTATAAGGCATTCACAATCACAGACACTGTGTGACTGGAATGAAAATAAATCCATATGACTTTTTGTTTTAATTAAAGTACAGTCAATTACAATGTGTCAATCTCTGGTATACAGCACAAAGTCCCAGTCATGCATATACATACATATATTTGTTTTAATAATTTTTTCCATTAAAGGTTATTACAAGACATTGAACATAGTTCCCTGTGCTATACAAAAGAAACTTTTTAAAATCTACTTCTAGATATGACTTTTAAAGATAAAATAGAAGATTTGAAACCATTTCATACGTTCCTGTTCTTAATCCATGAAGAAAAATTTGAGAAGCATTATTTCCACTTCTCTCTTTGGACTCGATATTGGAGTCCACAAATCCAACTCTGTCAATTTAAAATTTGCATGACCTGGGGCGAATTATTAAAATTTTCAGAGCCTTGGATGTCTCATTTGTCCCACGACGATAATACCTAACACGAGCGTTGTTATGAGGATGAAATGAAATTATTTATGTTAAACACCCAGCATAGTGCTTGGCAACATGGTGTCTAAATGTACACTCTTTGCATTATCAGCAATCTTTCCACTAGAGATGTGGTTGCAGGGTGTGTCTGATTTGCCCAATGCCACAATTAGTTTGTGAACGAGGACCAAGAAAGGGTAGGATTGAGCATCTGCTATATGACTGTCACTGGGCTTGGAACATACATCATGCCATTTAATCCATACAAAAGCCCTTGTGCATTAGACTAGAGCTCACTTCCTAGCTCCCATTCCAGGGGCTTTCTGCCCCAGCACGCTGATTCTCTGTGGTCTGGATCCTCTGCTTGCTCATCATATAGTTGCATCAGCTTGCAGTGACAGAGAAGCCCGTAGAGACATTCACATCGAATTTGCCCTCTTGCTGCAGCCTCTCTCCTGCTTACCATGCTGACAGTCGACGGCGAAATCATTTGTGGATGCGATTCTGGAGAAGCAGAACAGAGCAGCTGGCAGGCCAGGGTCAGAAAGGCACTCAGATTCAAATGATTTTAGAATATTGGAATCGGCCTTGAAAATCTTTCTACCTTCCAGCTTCTTTCCTAGAGAGAATAATTTAGGATGGTCCCAGATGATTTCTCACTGTTCTTAACTGAGAATATCATATGCTTATGCAGTTGCTAACTTGGAAAACACTAGCAGCAAAGGAGTGAGACATGGTATGTGGCAGTGTTTCCCTCAGCATTCTCCAGAAATGAGTCTGACACACTTCTGGCTCAGAAGCCCTGGCCAAGGGATTGCAGTCATGGCTGGCATCATCCATCTGTGGACAACATGCTAAAAATCCTTTCTGCCAACAGATAGGCTAGCCTACATGGGATGGTGTCTTTACACTAAGGGAAAATGGTCTTCTTTCAAGGTTATTCCATTATACCCCTTCTTGCCCCGCCAGGACCACTTTGATTAATTTATTTTAAGTCGGTTTTGCTGACACTGCTGCTGAGGAAGGACACGCAAATCATGAAGAGAGACATTCAGGGAAATATACACCTGTCTGAACCAGGCAAACAACGCAATGTAAGTTCACCTTGCCATGTGTCTGCCCTTGACCAAAGTGACAAATCATTTCTGGACAAAGAATGGGCAGAGAGGAAGAAGAGGGAAAGGATAAAGCTTAGCAAGTTTTTACCTAACATTCTTATTTTAGAGGTTTCAATAAATCAAGGGTTCATGAATTGTATCCAGAATTCTTGCAAATGGAAGAAATAGAGGGTTGGTCCAAGTGTTTCAGAGTTCTAAGTATGGCAAGTTTTCTACAAAGAGCAATGGACTTAAGGAGTCCTCAGCTCTGTTTAGTAACACTGTTGACTGACAGTCACAGAAGTCTCGTTAGTAAGATTCTGCAGGATTAATGGTGCCTAAAGCAAAATAATGTTTGTCATCAATGCCATTTATGAGTTGTTAATTATTATTATTAATTTTAATAATAATAAATCCATCCTAAGGAAGATTTTTAATGTAGTTCTATTTTTTAAATTTTTATTTGTTTTAGTTTTTATTTGGGAGGGGTAATTAGGTTCATATATTTATTTACTTAATGGAGGTGCTGAGGATTGAACCCAGGACCTTGTGCATGCTAAGCATGCACTCTACCACTTGAGCTATACCCTCCCCCCCATCCTAAATAAGATTGTTAACAGCTTTTGACAGGAACACAATCAGACAGCTAATAGGCTAAAATGCTAAAACTTAAACTAGGTCTTCTAACTTTTGGTCTTGGGGTAAGGGTTACCTTCGTGACACCCCATTGCCTCCTCCTTTTCACTGCACTCCTGCTGTATCTCAGCAATTTGCAAAAGAAGTTGCGCTTTCAGATCGCAAGTAGGCATGGCTAAGTGTGCCAGTGTCTTAGAGAAGCACGGTCGTGGAGTTAAGTTTTCCTCTCACCGTCCCCGCTGTGTCTGCTTCTGGCCAGAATGGCGTTAGCCGTCAGCTGCTTTGGTTCCGTAGGTTAGAGTATGAGAAAACAGTGTGAAAGCAGAGGTACTTTAGTCCAAATAAGCACTGGATAAATAGTGCTTATTAAATTAAAAGGCAAACAGACAGACCGTGACCTGGATTTGGGTCCAGCAGAACTGGGATAAAATTCGAGTCTCATCACCAACTAACTGTGCGATCTGAGGCCAAGAAATTTAATTTCCCTGAGCCAGAGTTTTACTTTCTATAAATAAGGATAATAATAGCACCAAGCCCATCCCAAGATTGCGCTGACAATAAAATAATGTAATCATATGAATGCCTTTGTCGTCCTAAAGAATTATAAAATGATTAGCCATTAGCTGTTATAGTCGATATTAAAATGCTAAAATGTTTCTGCTCAATCTGCTGTCAACTCTGTTCTAATTGCTCAGCCAAAACTGCACCCTCAGCTCCGTTCTTTCCTTCCTTCCTGTTTCATACCTTAATCACGGTCAGTTAGTCTACATTCAAAATATGTACAGGATCAGAGCACTTCACACCAGTCTACTTCCACCTGGTTCAAAACACCATCCTCTCTCGTCTGGACTTCAGCAGAAGCCTCCTTCTAACAGGTCTCTGCCCCCACCTCTGCTTCTTCCCCTCCCTCCTCCTCTTCCCCTCCCCCACCCCCAATTTTTCCAGCATGAAAGCCAGGGAGATTCCTTTCACTACATGTCATGACACTCCTTTGCTCATAGCCTTCCAGGATCTTGCCATATGACTGAGAATAGAAGCTGTAATACTTACAACAGCCTCTGAGGTCCTTTTAGTTCTTTACGGCTGCCTTGCTAACGAATCAGAACATATATATCGACACAATCCGCGGTCTCTGAAGACTTAAGAGACAATGAAACCATTCACCTCCAGCTTTCACCTCCCACAGGGCTTAGACAGAGTCAAGCCAGTTTCCTATGTGCTATTATTTCTTTGCTAGTTTGCAAGATGCAGCTTTGAACCAGGCTCTCAAAGTTCTAGAAACCAACCTTTCAACACAGGCGACATCTGGTACCCATATGGACCCCACCCAGGCTCAGGGGAACCACCTTACAGTCCAGTCAAGGGAAAGAGCACAGCAGACTTCTGGTGTAAGCCCCAAAGAGACCAAGCCACAGTGTCAGGCCTCTGTGTCCAGGTGCGTGGTATTCCCTTGGCCTGGACTGCTATTTCTCATTTGTCACTGGTCAAAACCCTACCCTCCAGTCAAGGCTGACCTTATACAACACTGCCTTCCTGGGTCCTTAACCAATCTATCCAATCTTCCTCTGCCCCACCAAAGCTTCTCCTCCTCACTTAACTTATAAGTCATTTTCCCCATCTTAAACCACTGAGCAAATCTGGTGAGTACTGATAGATTGTCACTTCCTTGAAGACAAAATGAGTAACAGTAGCTCATTATAACATTAATTCTCAAGGCCAGGAGGGAAAAGATCCTTCAGAATTTCGTGGGGATTAAAGGGTGATGGGAGAAGACAGCAGGGTAAAACGTCCTCTCAGAGAGCTTTTTGCTCTCCGTTCCCCACCACTCCTAGCCTCACGCCAGTGCACTGACTATATTAGGATGTCGGAAGTTGTAGACTGGACCAGTAACTCCTTAGAGCAGGGCGGGTCAGGAAGAGTCGTCCAGCAGAATCATCCAGGGTAAATTTTAAATATCTGGATTCCTGAGCTACTAATCTGGAAGTCCCTAGAAATTCATTATCAAGTATAAATTAAGATTAAGACTGAGTAAGATTAAGACTGAAGTCCTGAGCCTGGATTTAGGTATAGGATTCAGCACCAAATAATCAGCAAAGTTTGGCAATAACTGACTTAGGAGTGAATTTAATAGGTTTTTGAGGGGAAATGGGGACTGTAAATGATAGGGGGAAAATAAATATAAGGGAAAGGAGATGTAGAGAGTCATCAGTATGACCAGCATGGCACAACAGAGGAGACCTAGATACAGGATACCGCTTTCCAGTTGAAGGTCATCTGATTTTCTTTGGGAGGTGGGGAAAAATTTAGTTTCTGCTTAGGTGACCACAGGGAATGAATACATGGGCCGAAGATTACAGAGTCCTTTCCTATGGAAATTATATTTCTCAGTGTACGTTAATAAATCAACATGCTAGTAACTTTAAATAAGTCTATGTAGGCTTGTTTACTGTGAGTCTGTTCTAAGAGACACATCTGTTATCATTATGTTACAAAATTAAGTTTCTGAATCTGCAAACCTCCAGGCCTTGAAAGAGAGGACCAGGCAGAGGTTCATCCCATTAAAAGCCCACACATCAGTAGCTGGTGGAAGCCCCTAAGTACCCTAACATCATTTACTCATTAACATATAATTAATACATGAAGAATGAACAATAGGGAAGAGCTGGGAACTTAGATACAGGTCTTGACACTGTGACCAATTTGCTTTGTAATATTGGTCACTAGTAAGTACTACATAGATGCTCAACTGCCATGTGCCAGGTATGGTCCTTGACATCTTATATACATCATTTTGTTTAATTATCCCACAAACCCTGAAAAAGAGTTACCATTAGATACCTACACACCTTAGCAATTCTCTCCTTTGTACTTAGAAGGACAGCCCAAATTTGATTTCAGGTTCTCGATGCATGGAATGTACGCAAAATGACTGGAGCTTTGGCAGCTGCCTTGGGTTCTAATGTGACTTTAAGGAAGGAAATCCCTTGCTAAAGACGCAGAATAGAAATAACCTGGTTCCTGATACTAAAAGACACTATGCATTCCCTGAATGGTCTCCCTCTGTAATTCTTTCACAGAAGAAAGAAATAAACCACTATAATTTGGGGTTTTCTTTTTATGCTGCCAAGCATAATCCAAAGTGCTACAAAACTGGATTCTCGTTTTTGATTTAGGAAACCAGGTACAGGAAGGTTATGTAATTTACCTGACATTACACTGCTAGTGAGTACCGAGCAGAAATTATTCACAAGGCAATATAATTCTAAGGCCAATGTTCTTGAGTTTATATTATAGGATCTCAAAAAAAAAAGAAGACATTTTTGCTTTCATGTTTGGTATAGAAAAGGCGAACTAGCACCTCTTACCCTTTTTTATGTGTCAGGCATCGCGCTAAGCATTGTCAGATATGTTACCTTGTTTGTCCTTTTAAGCTTGGGTTTCTCTATATCTAAAAACTAGGTGATATAAGTAAATTATTTCTTCTTTTCACTTCAATATATCAAAACCAAAGACCTTATCCCACAGTCTAGCAGGCAACACTGCCAGTCTACAGCCAAGGGGTGACTGAGGTCTCTTCTGCACGTCAGATAGCTCCACCAGAGAAAATGACCTCTTCATCTGTGATAAACACGCATACACGAGATTCAAGCCAAGCTTGCTCTTGTCCTCAGCTTCCCTTTCAAAGTCACTCCCATACTGCGGAAGCAGATTTAGGAACTTAAGACCTATCGGAAACAGGACAGAAGAAAATAGAAACAAATAACTCCCCTGCCAGAGGAAAGAGATGAACAATGAGAGAGAAAAGCCCTTTCTCCAAAGCAGCAACTTCACATCACAAGGTTAAATAAAGAAGAGAGGTGCCGCAGACACATGTGCCTAGACCACATACAGACAGAGCAAGTGAAAACCGAAACTAAGGTGGAGGGTATAGCTCAATGCCTAGCATGCACGAGGTCCTGGGTTCAATCCCCAGTCCCTCCATTTAAAAAAAAAAAAACACCTGAAATTAAAGAATTATGAAAATACCAAAGAATACTCTATATTTAAGTACAATTGAAGTGTTAAATGTAAACTTAATTAATTAACTTACTGAAATCTTAAAAAAGGAAGAAAAATGATTATTTAAGCTTGGGATAAAAAAACAGACTTTCTAAGCAGAGCTGCAAGGAAAAGATCCCAAAGGAGAAAAATCAAAATACTTGGTTACTTTAAAAAATTAAAAGAAATACAAATGACAAATAGGAAAATGCTGAATTTTATGAAAAATAGAAGAATTGTACATTACAATGATAAATGATCATTTCTAACCCACTAAGCCAACGTATTTAAATGAGAACACTCAATGTTAGGCAAAAGACAATTAAACAGGTCCCAGCTGAAGGTGGGGAAATAAAATATATAGCTTCTCTAAAAAGAATTTTGGCAATAACTGACTATTGACCCAAGAATTCAGACCAAAATTGATCTACAAATATTTTCATTTTTTCAAATATTTTGTCAAGCATGACCTTTGACTCTTTCTTGAAATAAAAACCACTCTTAAATTATGAATATTTACTTCCACTGAAAAGCTTTATTTAACAAAACACAAAACCAGCTCTGTAGATGTTCAGAAATGATTTGGTAATGCTAGATTTATCACAAGAGACCTAAAGTTTCCCAAAAGGACTACCTGGAAGTACTCTAAAATACCTCAGAATGTGAATGTTTTAGCATGATGACTAAGACAAGAATCCCACTCTTTCATTCACTCATCCTTTCAACAAATGGTTTTTGATTATCTACTGTGTGTGAGGCATGGTGCTCAGCACTAAGGATGCAATGGTGAACAGAAAACATATGCAGGTACCACCCTTACGGACCTAGTACAGTGATACAGATAAATTAATCAAATAATTACACAAACTGATGGGGAAATTGCAATTCTAGAGATATCCATGCCTTGAGTGAGGTTACATGGCACTTAGAGAACAGATAATAGAGAAATGAGGCAATGACAAACTCTTACTGTATCAAGTGTGTAATAGAAACTTTTCATTCACAAATTTGACAGTCGTGATTTCAACTATTCCCAGACACACGTGAAGTTCTCCGATATTTAGCTAATGAATGAGGCCACCTCACTATGGCTTCTTATTTTCTCTTCATGACTTTGGAAATTTGTGAAAATCTCTCAGTTCATCCGTTATGAATCACAAAGGTCTATCCTATGGTTAGTATTTCTCCCAGGATTGGAACTCTCTGAAAGTTAAGGCTTTAAAGAACCTACTGTCTTTAATGGCCAGGAAGTCAGAATCTGCCTCATTCACAACTGTACCTTCCCTCTACACCCACCGCCTACCATATCATAGGTGCCTCATACATGCTTCTTTACGGATGGAGCTACTTGCATGGTCGATTTAGAAGAGCCCCAAGGAAGCTCTAAAAAAGTGACTTACAGTCCTGTCAGAATTAGCTGGTGGTATTAAAAAAGAATTTTTTTTTTTTAGAAAAGAAGGAAAGAAGTCAGGTCTATGTGCACTAACCCATACAAGTATGGAACCAGACTCTCTAGGGGCAGAACTCAAAGATTCTGTGTTTGTTACAGGAGCTGGGTGATTGTGATGCAGTCTATTGGAAATCTGTGTAAAAGAACATTTTGGGCAGTTTAAGGATTACTGAATATTACTCTTCTTTTATTTTTTTTCCCATTGACCTTAGCACTGTAAGGAGATGGATAGAATACCATTAAATATGACACTAAGGATGTAACAAGGTAGAGAAATGCCCCTATATGAATGCCAGAAATATGTAGAAAAGGAAGTAGGAAAGAATCTGTTTGTTTATAAGAAAGGCTATACACACTTCATTTTTCAAAAATAGAAAGATAGCTATTATCAAACTTCATATGCCATTTACTTCCCCAATAATCAAATCACAAAGTATATATTGAATGACAATAAGGTTCCCTACCTCTGCTAGGAGTGGGCAATCTGATTTTATAATATTTGCACCTTGCATCCTGGGGGCATTTAAATAGGGATGTGAATACTTATACAAACATCAGACTGAGAAAACAGTATATAACAGGAAAGGGGGACAGCAGAAAAGCTCTTGGGTTCTTTGAGTATTTGTTATAATGAGCTCTGATGATGCTGAGTGATCTACAAACATCTCATTTAAAGATTTGATTATAACCACGTTAGAGATGAGGAAACCAAGCTGTTAAAAGTGGATTGAATCCCAAGACTTTCATTCCTAAGTCTATGCTCTTTTCTCCAGTAGACCTATAACTAGGATGGCATCCCCTGGTTTTCCTCGGGACAGGCCCAATTTATGCCCATTGTCTCAGCAAATCTTTGATGGCATCCACTTCCACTCTCAAAGTCTCCCAGTTTGAGTGAGAATTATGTGGTCTCTACATATGCCTACATATAGCTCTAAGTAGACTAAAGACACCGAAGATGGGCTAGATTGGCTGGACCTCTACTGGACATACTTTGGAGTCAGACAAATGAACATTCTCATCCCTGAGCATCCACTGAACAGCAATGCCATGTGTGAGACGGTTACCTAAACTGGAACCTTGGGCCAGTTACTTCACCTCCTCAGTTTCGTCAACCACAAAATGGAAATAATGCCCCCACAGGACTGTGGTGAGAACTGAAATTTCAGGGAAAATGTTTGCATGGCACAAAATAGAAAGTAAAGAAAGAAAAGGGGTTCTCTCCAAGACTCAGCAGGGACAGTTTCCCAACTGTCGGTTGACCTTAAGTAACGGAATGAGACCGTACTCCTGAAAAGGGACGTGGATAGCCATTCAAACGTAACACGCCGAATGCCTCGTGGGAATGCATTTTCACTTCAAATCACTGTGTTGTTCAACATGTCAGGGTTATGGTTTCTTTCCCGAGAACTAGTATTTGACCTGAAGACGACACGTGCACAAGGCCTTCTCTTTACTCAGTGGAAAGTAACACAGTTCATACTGTCCAATGTTACCTCGCTGCAGCTCTTCTGTGATTTGTTTTGGGATTATAAAAATATCAGATCCCTCAGTTGTAGCCTTTCTGCAACCTGTCAGTTCACATTACCCGAGAGATGACATCTACCCGTCTAATGACTGCAAGTTTTGCGGCCTACCAGTGAGCATATAAAAGCCGGCAAAAAAAAAGAAAAAAAAAAGAAAA